TTCTTTCGTGTACCACTCACCACCCCTAGCTTAATTTGAAACGGGTGGCTTTCTAATCGTGAATTTCGTCCTTTAATGTGACCTACCATTTGGAAGCCAGTGGTGAAGTGAAACGGTTGTGGACGGCTGAAATTGTAGATCTGTAGCATTATTGGATGAAGAAGATAAGCACAGAAGGTGATCTTCGACAACGGCATGAAGAACTTCCACCCAAGAAAGGCACCTACTGGACCTGAAAGTGATTGCATCTGTTAACATCTGAGTAAGTTTTCAAACAATGGCATTGAATGTTTGTTCTCAACTAAGTCTTTCAGGGTTAGAAATTCATTCCCATCGGAATACTTCAATAGAGATTCCAGGCAACTCTTCAATTGCTCTTTCTGATGAAAGCGTATGTTTAGGCCGACATCAGATTTGGCGAATCGAGCGCGCAGTCTGATATCGGCCTTATATGGAATATTGGTAGAACGGTGCGCAGAGTTCAAATTGACATGCGATAGAATTATGCGACATTCAGTATTTGAAACTGCCGCGAATCAGGCAATTTCACGCGATGACTATGAACGCTACATACACGAGAAAAAGCCGCTGAATAGTTCCGGTAGGCTTCGTAATTGACTTTGTTTGGTTGTTCAAACCTCAAACTCTTGAAACTGACCTCCATTCTTGGTAGCGCAAGCGAATGTGACCCAGCCAAGCGCTAGAGCATAAGCATGTCGGCCGGCGACCACGTATAGCGCTCTCCAAAACTCTGAGATATCGCCTGTACGGGCATAATCGTACAAGCCGAATACAGAGTACAGGCCTAGCACTGTTGAGCAACGTCCAACCAAGAAGGACCCATTTCTGAAAAAGGAGCTAATGGTGGAACTCTGGTTCAATGAAGGACCATGGAATTGCAGCTGATCGTTGAGAGAAAAATTGACATTTTTCGGTTTGCAAAAGTTTTCTACCTCAAATTATTTTGTATTCACCCAGAAAATCAAATTTTTGAAAGAGAAGTCGCCAAAGGGAGCTGGCTAAACACCTAACCTTTGGAATTTTAACGACGGTGTCTTTTTGATTTTGTGTCAGATAGTTCAGAAGGAATCCAACGGTCACGCCAACAATGAACGGACCACAACGAACATATGGCCTCACATAGACATCTTTCCAATATGCGTCCAATGTTTTTACACTAAACAAAATTATTCATAGCGACAACTGCGAGTAAATAAAGGAGGATTTCACGATAGGGGCAAAGGTCGAAGAGGGGAAACCTACCTAGTGGAGGTATAGGCGGAGCTCCTAAGATGCGATTTGACAGGTAACTCGCCCTAAAGGATACGCCCTTCGCGATCAAGCATGGCCCTCCCCGCGCGCGCCGCACGTCATTCGACTAGTTAACCAGTCGCCGCAGGTTGCTAGCCATTCAGCAGGCAGAGCAAAGCCTTAGCATTGATGAGAGCAGCGCCGATGAGATCAATGCTAAGGCTTCTCTGCTGCATCATTGAAGAAATCAAGGGGCGAAAAAGGGGTCCCACTCCTCGGGTTATAATAGTACGTTTTTATTGTTTTTTCTTGTCTCGTGCATCATTAACCATCTCTAGCGTGATCTTGAATGGGCTACCTTTCATCATGAAATGCTCCTCTAAAAAAGAGCGACGAGGGGCAGCAGATGTTAATTCTTTTTGCAAGCGGCATATCTTGTCATGCACGGAAATCTTTGGATTACCCATACTAATACTATTGAGTAAGTTGAAAGTTTTTCCGTAGCTCCTACCAACACCTTTCCCTTTCTGAGCTTGAAAGCACATTCCGCGATCACTGAGGTGTTGGTACTACGCCAAAAATAAATAGTAGAAGTGGAGGTGCGTAGTGTAGCGCCAGTGGCCAAAAAAGGAAGCCTTCAAAAAGTGAACGCGTGAGCTTTCAGGAACCTTTTCATGGTGACTCATGTTGCATGCTCACCCACATTTGAAGTTTAGCAGTGAGAATTGGAGCCGGTGGATAGTCGTTTTCAATGACAATCCACAGTTGAATAATTGAAGAACC